TTAATTTAATTTTTGCTTTAAGCTATGAATCCTAATATGTATATATAATTCTCGTTTTTATTTATTTATTTTCTATTTTCTATTAAATGTATTTTAAACAAATTTTTTTCTTTATTATATACTCATTGTTTTCTTTGTTTGTTTATTCAGAAATTTTTACTTATTTTTTACTATATTATTTATTTTTTCGGTTTGCTTTTATAGGTTTTTTTTATCGTTTTATTATACATTACTTTCTTATCCAATTCATTCATTTCGAAAATAAATATTTTTACTAAATATTGAAATGTACACAGACAGAAATTTTTTTAATTTTTTGTTATATTGTATATTGTTTTATATATATTTCTTTTATTATGAACTTTTAATAATTTAAAAGGAACACCCAGTAGGCTAATTAAATTTCAACGTTTTGAACGTATAAAATGGATTAATTAAAGTTTACTTTACTAAATATATTTTATTCAAATAAATAATCTATAAAAAAAATAACCATTAAGTATTAAATCAGTTTTGTATATTGTTTTGTTTTTTTTTTTTTGTTTTTGTATGTTGATTAAATAAAAATTTCTTCCATAGTTGAAATACAAAGCCATTTGGGAGTCCCCCACCAAAGCGCTAGCACTCAATTGAATATAATTTTTCTATTTTTATATAATATATTATTTTTCTTTCGTAAATCGAACACATATGTTTGCAAAATAAAGATTTTTTTATATTAATTTGTTTTTTATATTTTTATACTTTTATTATTTGTTTTTAGTATTAATCTTTACTATAGGTTGGAGCTTCTCTCAAGCACTATTTGACCTCACCTTTGGCTCGTGTTATTATTTACCTCAAAAAATGACGACACTTGCTGTTTGTTTAACGTTTTAAATAAAAAATAATTTGTTTAATTTTATTGCTATAATTCTCAGATTTATGAATGTTGCCTGAAACTTAAATTTAAGCTATTAAAATTACATGTTATCAATACAAATATTGTTGCTAATGTGTAGGGCAATGCGTTGACTACGAAATTTTTTGTTAGCAGTGTTGGTGCGGCATGATTGCAAAGATCGGTTGTACATGCACAGTAGATCGCCTGCACGTCGTGTGTACCCAGACGTTTCATGCATTCGCCGTCGTCACGTTCATCTGGTATATAACCGCATCCGCGCACGACACGTACCTTACCATAAACTATAACAGAAAAATCCATTAAAATATATTATTTAATTATATTATTAAATACAAATAATATATAACCCATTATAATAAATATATAATGAAGTAGTTGTAAATATTATATCACAGCACAGCATATGATATCATGCGAGAGCTGCCTTTTAAGTCTTGCGCCTAACAATGAAAACACAGCGGTTAATCAGTAAAAATGGCTTTATTGTTTTTCGAAGTATTCTCCATGGTAATCAATACTCGTACATTTTTGCATTTTATTGAACCAATTTTCGAAACAGTTTTTCCACTCTAAAACCTTAGTTTTGGATACACCATGTCCAGTTCGGGTGTAGAAAAACACACACCATTTATTTTTCGGAACAATAATTTATTGAGTCGGGACTATAAGGCCAAGAAACTTTCGAACAGAAACATCGAAATCTGGCAATGCTTACCTAGGTATAAGACTTAAAAGGCAACCTACGTATATATAACAAAGTTATATCTACCATTTATGGTTATTATCAAAATATTTTATATTATACTTTTATTTACAAATGTGTACACAATTATATAATTATCATATATAATTAACATCATATTACATATTATAATGTAAAATATACGTATACTTATATACATATTAGGTCTGTTCCACGAGCTACTCATAGTAAAACATGAGTAAAACAGAAGTAAAATTTACACAAAAATGTTTGAAAATTTGCTGGTGGAACGCGTTTGTGTATACACAGTGTTTACTCAAAATTACTATGAGTAGCTCGTGGAACAGACCTATTGTGTATAAATAATATATATATGTATATATATATAATATATAATTCATATTGATATCATGTTATAAAGCTTACTCTTTTGTGTTGTTTTGCGGCACAAAGTTGGTTTATACTTGTCCTTTAAATGTTCAAGTGGTTCTTGTTTGCTACAATTTACTTCACCTATTGAGTAAGGATGGAAAGGATCTCCGCAACGTGGATCGAATTCACTGTTACAATCATAGCACATAAGCGCAGTACAAACTACAAAATAAAGTATATAAGTTTATATGTAATAATATAAATATAAAAATTAATTAAAATATAATATATATTATAATATAAAGACTATATATTTACTATATATTATTTTTACTATTAATTTTCATTAAATGGTATTGAATATCTGTAAGATACGCAAGCATACTGCATTTGAGACATAAAAAAAGAGACAGAAATTATAGAATAGTACACTGAGAGACTACAATTAATGTAATCTCAAGCACATTTTTATTAGATAAGTTATCTTCCTCAATGGACCATACAGTAATATAAAATTATTTTTAAATGCAAAAATTTCAATTTCTCTAATATAAAAAAACTTAGTGATGGACAAAGTTATATTTGCCTAAGAAGTTCAGTCTCTTCCTAGCTATAGGTGAGGTATTCAATGTTTCTTCTTTCTCTTCAAATTCACAGCTTCTACATATGTTAATTCAATTGAAGAAGCTCCTAACCTAAAAGTATGCTTAATAGTGACCGCTTATGAAAGCAACGTGTTTTTATAAGTATTATTTTCTAGTAAGCTAAGTAACTCTCTTGATTGTTCCAATAATAATAAAACCACATCAATACTAATTCCAAAACTTTTTACTTCTTATTTTCTAATAATCATTATACATGTTTTATAATAAAGGTATATCGGAAAAATTACCAAAACTATAATTATATATAATAAGTACAAGAATGTATCACGAAGCTCATAAAATGTGCTCAGGAAAATGAGGTAACATTCATATGAGCTAAAAGACATACCAGTATTGATCGAAACGAAAAGGCAGATGATCTTGAAAAGCAAGAATCAAACCATAACTTCTGTGACTCAGAGCCCAGAATACCTTTGGGCTACAACATAACTGCAGCCAATGTCGATAAGTGAATAGCTTCACTTTGTCTTAATAGGTGGAGAGGGATAAGCACTTGTAGACAGGCTAAACTCATGATGCCAGTGAAGTACTTAACGATTAAAGTTAACTGACCTCATTGATTACTGGACATGGAAATTTGAAGTATCACCTCAAAAAGATAACTGTTGTTGAGGAAAACACTTGCAGACTCTACATAGAAGAAAAGAATGCAGAGGTACATATATTGTGCTAATGTTATGCACTGAAGGGCAGAAAGATGACTGTCTTGGGACATCATTGGGTTGGTGATGATTTAGCGAACGGAAGCTACTTAAGCTTTAACTCAATAATGACATTCGAGAATCGAAGGACGACGAAAAAGAACCCAAGTCATTTCGTGATCTACTTGACTAATCCTTCACTTCAGTCAGATCACTAAGTGGACAGTGCGCTGTCCCAATTTCCTACAATATATATCAATATATATGTGTTTTATTTATATCACATAAAGTTTCTTCTTTTGCTATTTTTTTTATATTATCATCATACATTTTTTTTAAACATATATTGGAAAACTTATCAATAATATATGTTTTGTTTTTGTTTCTGTATCTTTCAATTTTCCTATAAACAATATTTTTTTCCTTTTTCTTGCTCCTTTTCATCATAAATGTTTTTTTAATATTCAGTCAAAGTTCCATTACTCGAACTTCTATAAGTCGAATTTTCTATAACTCGAACTAAATAGAGTGCATGAGGGTTTAGAGAGCAAGTTATATACAATTACAAAAAAAAATTCTTTAACTCGAAGTCTCCATAAGTCGAACCTTTTGCAGAATAGTACATCGAGTTATGGAAGTTTGACTGTGTATTGAAAGACTTATCAAAACTATAAGTAAATATGTATTTTGTTTATATCACATAAAGTTTACAATAAAAATATGAACTGTATCCTTCAACTTTCCCATAAACAATCGTTTTTTCCCTGGTGCACTACTACTATATATTAATTCATGAAGTTTGTAAACGGTGAGACTTCTTGGTCTCAGTTGTTCCTAAATTATCTATGTTAGTTTAAGTGTAAATCCAAAATGAACTATTTCAATTTAACGCACCCCTGAACAAGCAAATTGCCCTCATTTGGAGCGTACGCTTCACGTTGAGAAACATTGCTCTAAGTTACAGAAGTTTATAATTGTCTTCATCGAGGGATTGGTTACGCATTCTTCTGCTAATATTTTGTTTGCTTTTGTCAGATTAGAAAAAGATTTATGTAAACATTGTGATTGTGTATTATATTACCTCATTACGTGAAAATGGAATTAAAATTAACAATGTAAACTCAACTCTTTGGAATTTTGTTGAGTTGAACTTTTATCAAACGTTGTTTTCTAAGATATCACATGGACTTGCACAACAGAAATACGAAAAACCAATTAAAATATTTATATAATTGACATTTGCAACGAAAGCTTCTTGTTACGAAACATTGAGTCAGTCGCAAACATTACTAAGGAAACGTAACCATGGCAGTAAGCGGGCAGTTAATCAAATTAAATGCGCGAATATATAAAGAATATAAAGTGAATAGAAATGTGCAAAACAAAAGCGTAATTTTAAACCTTGACTAGAGGTATTTCATTCACTTTATTGTTAGCTACTTTACTACTTTCTGCTAAGATATTTTTCATTAATTACAAACTAGCTAATTTTATATAAAGAAAGACAAACTAAAAGGCATTAAAGTGGTTTTGCTCTATTTTCTTATGGAAGCACTTCGGGCGATAGTTGAAGCATACAAACGCAATCATAGTACGAAAGGATGTACCGGATATTGAATATCTGTTTTATTTCCTGCAAATTTAATTAAATTGCTATTTTCCATGTAGATTTAATGGAAATATGTATACCAGCAACCTATTCAACAAATATTTCTATGCATACAGGAGTATTGAATAGAATGCAAATACATGTTATACTCGTAAATCCCATTAAAAAAATTATTCCTCATCCTTTCGCGTAGGATTTTGAAGATATATGCTTATGGCTCTACGTGCTTTTTGAAAAATGCATTTTTAAGACTCAATAGTGACATAAAATTTATAGTTTAATATTGTATGTGGAAAGCATAGAAATGTTTGAATTTAGGCCATTGACCTTAATATCGATCTGAAATAAAATATGTATGGACTTGCTTTGACATGAATGTAAGGTATATTATTGCGTCACTGCACCAAGGACAATACACAATTGTCGTCATTCCTGAAATGTTCAATGCTACAAGTAGAGAAATGTCGAAATTGCTTAAGGAAACGAATTAAATCGCATGTATATTTTGTTTTTCTTTTTTAATCCTTTTTATTCCTTAAACGCAAGTCCTTTCAACCCGTTACGTTCATATAATTAAATAACTCGTTCTACTTTTATATTTTTTACATTCAGACCACAATATCTTATACGTCTTACTTGCCATATGAGTTCGTCCGTATCAAGTAAGTGCTTTGAAGTTAACACATCAAGGATGAGCTAAAAAGGTACATAACAAGTTAAGAATGCAAATCGGAAAAAAGGATGAGTCACAAAAGGAAAATGGTTAATTCAAGTGTTATCGAGCACATAAAGCTTTGAATGTAAGTATTTTTTAAGCATATTTTATGATACTTTCAGTACTAAAACTAGCACACCCATACGCCCTCCTCCTCCTTCACCACCACCTCCTCCTCCACCTCATCCTCCTGGTGCGCTAGTTTGTATTTTATTATATATGTTGCCATGCAGACTCGAGCGTATGTAAATATCTGAGTTCGTACTGAAATACACCAAATGCACGTATATAACAAATATTGTATATAAGATGTATTGACTGAGGAAACTTATTCTTTTTTCAACGTTGCGTAATGCAATTTTCTAAGTTAAAACCAAAACATAAAACAATTTGCCATAAAAAGGAAACTAAACTAAGCCATTGTGAGGCAGCAATTTTATTATTCTTGCTTTGCTTTTTTACCACTAGAAGTATAAAGGCAAAACCGACAATTCCAAAAGAAAAAATATCCACTAATAAATTAACCTAAATAAGTGTTAAAATAAAATAATTTAAAAAAAAATAAAATGGCAAAATTTCGATTTCCCGGATACGCCAATTTGAGAACAGATTTTAATAACGACAGCTATTGTGAGCTACTTTTTTCACCAACCCAAATGATAATATAGCTTATGACGTTTTCGATTGGTAAATCTGGATTTAAGCTAGATTTACTCTAGATCTGCCAAATTTTATTACCCAATCGAATATTTTTAGAGTATTTTAACATTTTTGTTGTAGGGATAGTAAGCATTTATATTTTTTATGAACATATATGACAATTATAATCACACTTCATCTGTCAAGTCATATGGAACGGCAGTGAATTTCGAGAGATTGTCTCTAGATCTGCCATTTTTATAATTGTGTTATTAAGCTTTTATACTTTTCATAAATAAATATATTGTATCAAATCATACTTTATCTGTCAAGTCATATAAAACAACTGTTAAATTCAGGGTAATTCAGCTCCTCTGGTAAAATATCTAGAGTGTTATAAATTAATCTCAAATGTTATATATTGCACTCGAGGTTTACTAATCCTAAAAGAAAATTGCACTAAAAGTGTATCTCATTTGAAAAAATGATTAGTTTTTCAGATATCGACGTTTGAAGTTGTAAATTATTCGAAAAAACCAGCAACAATATGTAGACATGTCAGACATGATACCTCCAAAAGTAAACTACTTCGATATATTGTGTCGTGAAAAAGTTGCTCAAATTAGCGAACTCTACTAATACCTATCTACTGTCAAATCAACGTGCCAGAAAAATTGGAATCGTGCCGAAAAAGTAAGCTATATTAACATAAACCCAATAATCCCATAAACCCAAGAAACGTGCTTAAAATAGCAGACTTTATTTAAATCTATTGTTTAATCAACGTGCCCGAAAAATTGGAATAAAGCCGAAAAAAGTTAACTTTATTAAAATATATTTCAGTAAATAACTTACTTAAAATAGCGAAATTTACTACAATTAAATGTCAAATTATCATGCTTTATTAATTGGACTCATCCCGAAAATAGTAAGCCATATCAACATATAGTATA